TTTTTTTTTTAAATTTTGAGCTTTGAAAAGCTTCAATATTGTAAGGCCTTTATGTACAAAAATTTTGGATTTTTTTTCCATCGTAAAGCGAAGAATTTGTAATATAAATTAAATTAATTGCAAGAATTTAATAATAAAGTAATTATTATAGTAATTTCATTAATAAAGTATTTTATTAGTGAAGAATTGTATTTTGACTACATTTTTTATAATTCTATTATTTATTATATCTTGCGACTTATTTTTCTTTTTGACTTTATGTCTGATATATAAGATAATATATTGCAATAATTTAGCCAATGTCTTCAGTATAATGATGGAGATTTATAAATAAAAATTCAATTATATTGATATTATATAATATATGTTTCACATTTCTAAAATGACAGCAATAATACAAAACAAAATATTTTTATAAAGCAATTCAAAATACAATTATAATTTTTTAATAATAAAATATGCATCGCCTCAAACAGAGATTCATGCTACCGGTAGAATATCTTGGATTTATTATGTTTGCAATAATTTTAAAAATAAAATTCTGACATATTTTTACAGATTTTTCAGAGTTTACCACTAAAAATCAGTACCAGAAATGTGGTATACACAGCCGAAATTCCGTTGAAGGTAATTGGTAAAATATATTTTAACTTACTAAAAAAAATCCATGAACTTTGATAACAAATAAAGCTCTATATTGATTTGAAACAAATTAATCAGATCAAATAAATTTGGCAAACCTCAAAAAAGCTCTCACTCTTCTTTCAGTTTCTCATCTTAAGCTTTCGTAACTTTTATAAAAGCACAGTTAAAAAATTGAAAATCACAAGACAAAGCTTTATGTTAAGTTTATAGTTTCACGATAATTTTAACATATCTTAATTTCATTTTAATTTATAATTATACAAGATACTTTCTCAAATTTACTTTCGACTAGTTTCATAAAAACTTATGTTTGCAAAGCTATTGTGAAAACTCATATTAATAATCAATATTGATAATTATATTATAAATTAATTAATTTATATGTTTACACACTTTCTAGTGCATTTATTTACATCACGCATTAATTTCAAAATTAAACAAATTACAGTCCAATAATTACAATATTTTAACAAAATGACATAAATAATTTTATACCTGATTTTTCCCTATAGAAAGAAACAATAAATTTGTTAAGCAAGAAATAGTCATGTGTAGGTTATTTACAGCATCCGATTAAGTTTTATGACTTTTAGGCAATTTCCATCAATTTTAAAGATATTAAATACCAATAAAACGATTTTATTGGTGATAGATTTTCTAATCAATCAATCGATAAATTATAAATGAATTTGTTGTTTCATGTACAATAATATAATGATCATACTGCTTATTAAAGGTTTACTTTAAATAATAGGGCTTAGGAAAAATGAAATACAAAAAAAATTATGTTGGTTTTCAGTAAAAAATCAGTTAAAAATTCATTGTTCTATTTATTTAGATTTTTTAATATAAATAATTTAAAGACATTTACACAAACTCTATGCTAAAGCAACTGAATTCAGAAAAAATATTTTAAGGCATCCTAAATCGTTCGATAACAAAATTGGAAAAAGTTTGTCTGTGTATCTCATACACATATGTGCCTAATAGCCTTTTTTTAAAAAATATATAACTATTATTTTTTACAATTATTTCAGCATTTCAAATATCATGGCATAGACGAAGTATTAGGAACAACTGCAACTTTGACCCAAGAATTTGCTCTAAAATTATACAAAGATATGTTTGAAATTCGCCGAATGGAAATGTTAGCAGCCGATTTGTACATGAAAAAAATCATTAGAGGTTTTCTACATTTGTATGCTGGTCAAGAAGCCTGTGCTGTGGGCCAGAAACTGGCCATGAGAGGGGTATTTAATCAATAATTTGATAAATACTAAATTTTGCATGTACTTATTAACCTTTAGTTTTGTTTCAGTAACTATTAAGTTCCTCTAATTTATTTATTCATTGCCCCAGAAACTTTGTGATCAAGGGTGATTTCTAGGTTGATAAGTGGCCTTAGTATTACGATTCCAAAGTAGGTTTTCATCTAATTATTTGCCTATATGATTAGAACTATGTGTTTCGAGAGTGTATTGTACATTCTAATTTAGGATTTTTTCTAGTGATAGCAACCCAGTAGTCAATCACTCTTTTTTTCATGTGTAGACTGACTATATTTATTGAATATGTGTATGCGACTGTGTTCGTTACTGCTTGATATCGGGTTGGCCGAGGTTGGGATCAAACCTCTGAATTAGTTATATAATATAACTTGTACTCAAATATCGCTGAAGTATGAAAATTTCTTTATTTGCATTGACTATATAAATATTACAACAATCAAAGGGAAAAATTATTCATTAGTTACTAGGTTCTATCTATGGGCAAAATGTTGTAAAATTAATATTATATTGAAGCTCTAATTTAATTGATTTGAACTAATTGGCAAATTCTTGGCCCATTCAAAAAAATAATCATACTAAGATAGATGCGCAATATAGCATTACCATAACATTTTTTATATTATCCCAGAATTGGCGCCAATGTTTCTAAACTTAGTTGTCGTTGTTGAGGCATTAAAATTCTTCAGAATTTCACTTGGGCTTTTCTGTGGATTAGTGGCTATGAAATTTCATATAAAATTTTTTATACCCGTCTCGGGCAGCCTGATGTCAAGCAGCAGTGGCATCGGTTTTCTATAAGAAATGTAGATAACAATGTATCTAAGAGAAATATAGCTCTTGCCAGGCATTTCTGCATTAATAAAAAATTCAGCTCTATTACAGAAATTGTAATAAAAATCGCCATTCACCGCATAGAGATAGAAAAGGTGTTTGTGTTGCCATCTATAAAACCGACGTAATTAATTTAGTCAAATTATCACAAAAACTTATAGAACCAGGAGCGCTGTTCACGTAATAATAGAATAAAAAAAATCAGTTTATAAAATGGTATTTCTCATGTACAGGATGACAAAGTCGTGACCTCTTACCGATGTCATGGATGGGCCTATTTAATGGGTTTAACACCAACCCAAATATTAGGCGAACTGGCTGGTCGAGAAGTCGGAGCTTCTCGAGGCAAAGGCGGTTCTATGCATTTGTATGCCGAGAATTTTTTTGGAGGCAATGGCATAGTCGGAAGTCATGTGAGAAAAAATATTTAGAATTTAAAGATATTTTTTTCTCATACCATATGAAACTAGACCAACATCCAAATCCAGCTATGCAATTAATCAAAATTCATGTCCCAACTAGAAAGCTCCAAAGAAAATGGCCAGAAGACCTACTAACTTAATTTAAGCTCTGTTTATTTTACTAACATAGATTATTCATTAACATTGATTTATTTTATTAACATTGGGTTATTTTATTAACATAGATTATCTACGGAGGAATTTCTTCAGTGGAGGAGACCTATAAATAACATATTTAATGAATCACATAGGCTTATAGAAATTTGTATTTCTGATTGTCTATAATAAACAAAGAAAAAAAAAAGAAATATTTTAATCATAAAAAAATACAATTTGCATTACAATTTATATTTCATTTAATTTTAGGTGCCATTGGGTACCGGAGTAGCATTTTCTGTAAAATATCGAGGAAGAAAAGAGATTGTTTTAACCATCTATGGTGATGGAGCTGCTAATCAAGGACAAGTTTTTGAATCCTTCAACATGGCTAGTCTTTGGCACTTGCCAGTAGTCTATGTTTGCGAAAATAATATGTACGCAATGGGTAAGTAATTAATAAAACTAGTCAAATGCCAATAGGCTTTATCTATGTAAATAGATTATGCAAAATTCATTCAATTTGACTTTTTTAACTTGTACTGGGTATTAACAATAATCATATTAGTACAACAAAATCATCACAAAATTTTTTTTTCCAGTTTTGAAGGTTTTTGGAATATTTTTGTCACAAACATCACAATGTGTACTTTTCCTTGCAATAATGAGGCAATTTTGTTTATCAAAAAATAATTTTTTTTAACTTAGTTTTTTTCTAGGTACTCATATAAGTCGAGCTTCAGCAAATCCGGAATTCTACAAACACGGAATAAATTTTCCGGGCATTAAAGTAGATGGAATGGATGTATGTCTGTTTATGAAGCAAAAAAATTCGCCCGACAATATGCTTTAACCCATGGGCCTATTATATTAGAACTGGATACATACAGGTAAAATAAAAAAAATTGAATTAGAAAAAAAACATCAAATTAGAAAAAACGTCACCTTGAAATAAATGTAATAAATCAAATCAAAGAACTATAATTAACGTTTAGAGAAATTTTCATTCTTCATACAATATACACTGGAGTCCCTAAAACATTCAATTTTACTTTATATACGCATACAAAAGCATATATAAAATCATAAAATTATTGTTGTAAATGTTTTTTTTAACCAATACAATATGTTTTGGATTACATAAGCTACACATTGTGGTATGAAATGCTTCAGGTTGCGGTAAAATGTTAAAATCGGCATAAAAACGTGATTTTATGCCAATATTTTCAATTTAAGATTACATCTAAGACCACATGGTGTAAAATGTTTTTTTTTGCAGCAGCTATATTTTAATGAGACTACATATAAAATATTTCACATGAGTGAAAATAATGATATTCACAAATTCCGTTCATACAACACTCCAAAAGTTCATTAATATTAATTATAATTATTTTACTATCAATAAAATTAATCGAATGATGATATAATAATAAGTCGTTTTAGGTAAAGTATTAAAAAATCTAATTATTCATCTCTATAGATATTTCGGTCATTCGATGTCAGATCCAGGAACA